CAGTGCGGGGGGTTGGGGCGGGGGAGGGGTGAGATCCTTCCTCCTGTCGGCCTGGCCGTGCCGCCACACGACTCTGCCCACAGACCCAGACCCTGCGTCTCGCAGCCGAGTGCCCGCCTCGCCGGTAGTCACGGATAGTCCCGCGATCACGCACGCGTCCTGGACGCCTCCCTAGTGAGTAGCCCCGGCTGACCCAGAGGCGACAAAGTCGCATGCGCTATTTGATTGGCCCTGCTGTGGGGCCTGGGCCGAGGCCTGAAACTGACAGCACCCTCCCTCCTTCGAGGCATCACTTGGGAAAGAGTCCTGAAAAAAGGACTTGGGTTAACCCTGCCAGCGTGCAAGGACCGCATCCGCAGCAGCTTCCAAAGCTGGCAGGGAGAGCTGAGTGCACAGCGGGCCACACGAACGTCCTCGGTTTGTCTGGCTGTACAATGTCCCTTCCCAAAGGACACTGGACACTCTTCAAGCTCAGCGGCCCAGGCTGCGGGGTCAGAGTCACAGTGAGTGAACCCTGATCTGTTCCCCAGGCGTGGCGTCCAGGCCCTGTCAGTACCACGTAGCTGTGCTTGGCTGAGCTGGGGGCCCTGGCACCACTCTACACAGCTCTCAGGTGGCTCTGGGATGCTCAGGCATCTTCATTTCCACACAACACACCCGTCTGAGGATGTCACCTGAGATGGTCTGAATTCTGACTTCTTAAACTAAGCCAGGACTCCTCCTCCCACTGCTCAAGTGAATACAGTGCAGAGCTGGGCGGGCAGGAGCTGGGTCTGGGGCATGAGCCGGGTCCCGCTGGCGGAGAAGGCCCTGTCCGAAGGCTATGCTCGCCTCCGATACCGCGACACTTCCTTGCTCATCTGGCAGCAGCAGCAGCAGAGGTTGGAATCTGTGCCGCCTGGGACCTATCTGAGCAGGAGCCGAAGCATGTGGTACTCACGGTACGGAAACGAGGCCATCTTAGTCCGAGACAAAAACAAGCTTGAGGTCTGCCGGGACACGGGCCAGTCCAAGGTGTGCACAATCGTGTGATTAAACCCGTGGCCAGGTATCAAGCCTTTTGCACCTCTCAGTTGTCACATGGCTTCCTAATTCTCAGCGGGAGGCCACGAAGATCCAGATGAGGTGTAAGATCCCAAGAAATCCAGCAACTCCTTGCTCGGGTCCCCCCAAAGCTGGTGGCTGCACACCCACTTTCAGGGTTCTGCGCAGAAAGGCCCATGTTTCCAGACAAGTCAAGCAAGAGGAGCCCCAGCCCCAACCACCAACCGTTCTGAGTTCTAGAGGTTGTTTCTAATATTAGCTTCTGCCTGCTGAAGAAAGGGTAGCTGCTGTCACACGTGTTCTCGGATCCCTCTGCTCGCATCCGCACAAGCAGCCTTGGTGGCTGCAGTGGTGGCATCTCAATGGGATGTGGTGCCCTGTGGTGGCCTCCACACTGGCTCCTAAGCACAGGGGCCCATGGGCGAGCTTGTCCTGCACAAGGCTCCCTGAGTTTCCAGTGACTTCCAGCTGTCACGTGGCTGTGAAGCAGGCTCCCCCTCCAACCCCAGGCTGCAGCTGCCCACCGTTTGGGGTTCAGCATACTCCATCCTCACTGCACAGCCATTCTGAGGGCCTTTGCCCTCTGCTGCAGTGAAAATCCTCTGGCGATGCACACGTGGAGGAGTTTTGTCAAAGCTGGTTTTGCTTTTCTAAATAAACATCCTTTACGGTTCCTTCCCTTTCTCTGGCTTTTGTCTTCTTCAGACCCTACTTGGCTTTCACTCTTAGTAAAAGCTGAGTAAATACTGCAGAGCAGAGCTAAATGCCCTCCTGAGAGAAGAGCACTGTCGGCAGTGCGGTCACAGTCGCAGCGTCCTGGTGGCACCTTCCTTCCCGTCTGGCAGACACCAGACCTCCCTAGTGGGCAGAGATGCCGCCAACAGCTCGTCCTGAGCGTGGCGTGTTCCCTGCTTCCCATTACAGCCATGCGTGTTCACCTGCAGACCGGAGGCCCACCGGAGGGAGCCCTGCTCAGCTGCCCGCCCTAGAGCCAGGTCCCTTTGCTGGCCCCGTGGTGTCCAGGCTGGAGGAACTGTCCCATCTGCGAGAGCGAGACTTGCCCAACCGAGGCACCATAGCAATGTGGATCAATCCAGGCTGTTCTTGTCTACATCTTTGTAGCTCCTCAATTTAAGCCCCGCTAGGAAAGCAAGCTGCCTTCACAGACCTGCTACGGCACCTGACCCAAGGGTGGTCAGAGGTCATGTGCAGCAATGGGATATGCACATGCTCACCAGGGCCAGTGGTGCAGGTTAACAGGCACTGGGCTACACAGGCAAGCTGGAGCTAAGGTGCTTAGCCCACAAGAAGACACCATCTGCCCAGGGCAGACAGGACAGTGACATGCTGGAAGCCAATGTGGACTGATGCGGTGGGCCTAGCCAGTACCCAGCGTGAACCTCCTCCCTGGGAATGTCTGTCCCAGGCTGGCAGCAACAGGCTGTTCTGAGCAGTGTGTTAGGGTCCTCGGATGCCTTGACCCCCAAATTCCTTCACCAGTGACCCTCAAGGACGTCCAGGGCCTGTTCCGAATGACAGTCAGCTATAGCACAAAGACCTGTCCTACCTCGTTTCAGGTAGGGTTGGACCACTTAGGGGCCTGTGTCACAGGAAGTCAAGAGGGCATGGGATGGCGCCTGCTTGACAGTGATGAAGGCAGCCCACTCCAGGGCTCCAGGGACCAAGGACGGAGAGGAAGGGGCAGGCACTTTCTGCGTAAGGCTGTGGGATGGCACTGAGCCTGGCTCCTCCCCAGCCCAGGCGGTGAACGTGGCTGCTGAAGGCCCTTTACCAAGATGGAAGGGGAGTGGTCACACCACACCACACACCATGAAGAAAGACACCACCACGGAAAGCTAGGATGCGTGGTTGGTTTTTTTCTTTTTATTATGAAAACAAAACAAATGCCCCAGGAGAAGGGTCCATGATTACCAGAAACATCAAAGAGTACTTTCTACCATTTTTATTCTGTGGTGTTGAGGCCAGCATTGCAATAAACAAGCTAAAACTACTTACATTGGACTCATTTTCAGTAACTGACATTTACAGGAATATACTAGAAACGGCACTAAAAAGTGTTAAGAAAAATTACGGTAAACTCGCATGCACATCATACAGAAAAGTAACATTTTTAAATATAAAAAAGAAAAACCTCCTGGAAGTGTTATGCCAGTATTAGGGGACAGAGAAAACTCGATGTGACGATTCTTGAAATGGGCATTTTTCCTTCCCAAATGACTGTAAAAGGTGTGACAGCTGCAAAGGAACACAACCAAACAAACACAAAGGAAAACGTGTCTTATAGTTGTTAGCAAGCTGACGCTGCCCCGCAGGAGGGGGGCTCTGGGCCTCCCCAACACCCACAGCCCGCCCTCGGCCGGCTCCGGCAGGGCCCCAGGTCTGTCCTGCCCTGTGGTGGCCGCCAGGCCTGCCACTGCCCCTTCCCAGGGAGCCTCTGCCTGGAGGTCTGACTGCCCTGCAGTGCTCCGGCCAGGAGAGGCCGTCACCAGGGCCACCAACGTCCCAGGTGTCAGGGACCCACCGAAACCCGAGAACAGGTTTGAAGTCTGGACAGAAAGCCTTTAAAAAGTTACAGCACCAATGAACACCTGCTCAGGAGGAATGCAGCCCTCGGACCCTCCCTCAGAGGGCCAGCTGCCTCCCGCGGCCGCAACCGCCTCGCTCCCTGCGCCGGCTCGGGCTGGGACACGCAGCCACTCAGATCCCGAGCCATTCTGTCATGTGTTCATTCCTTAAAGTCACAGTTTAAATATTCTATTAAAGATCTGTTTAGAAAATACCTTTGAAAAACAAGGGTAACTTTAAAAAATGGAACTTTAAAATCCATTTATATTTTTATTATAAACAAAACTGACTTAAAAGTTTTAACAAATGGCTGAAAACTCAACAAGTGTCAGAACCGCTAGCAACTAGGAACACGCAGCCAGCCCCACCCGAGTCCATGGTCTGGTTTTAAACACTGAGCCCTGGCAGGAAGCTGCTCACCGGTCTCTGTCTCCACCCCAAGTGCAGGGTCAACCAGACAAACAGCCGCCCATGCCAAGGCCACCAAGCACCACAGGATGTAGCCTGAAGTCCCGGGAACTTGGGGCAATAAAAGAGCCAGGAGCATCGCGCAGTCTCCCCGACCCTGCACCCCGGGGGCACACAGGCCAGGGCAAGGGGCTCCGCTCGGCCCGGCAGAGCTGGCAGAAACTCCAAGGCCGGACGTGCGGCAGCCTCTAAAAACAACAAACCCAAAGAGAACCTTCTGTTAAACTCTCGTATATTATTACTATTTTTGTTTTTGACAATAGTTTAAAAAAAAAATCAAGACTTGGATTTTTCTATATACTTTTCTCTCAGATTGTAAAGCTCACGTCATAAAACTGGGGTTCCCTACATTGATTTCTTTGATGAAACAGTCCTCAAGAGACCCGGCATGGATACAAGAAAAACTGAACAAACAACAAAAAATTAGAACGTGCTGGAGCTGAAGTGTCTATACTTGTAAGTCTCCAAAGTTTATACAAAAAATAAACAAAAAATCTGAAACCAAAAAACCAAAACCAAAGCCACTAAGCCCAGGAAGAGGGCGGACAGCTGAGCGCCCAGGCAGGGAGCACAGGGAGCTGGGGCCTGGTCTCCTCCTTGGCTGAGGGCTGACGTCCACTGCTGTGTTTAATGCACTTCTTTTACGGTTCTGTGTTTTTGCTTTTTCTCTTTTTTTTTTTTTTTTTTTTT